TGACATGAGCGGAGACTCCGTCTCAAAAAAGAAAAAATAAATAAAAAATATGCAAATATTGAATTCTGTAATATGTAAAAATGACAATACACCGTGACCAAATGAGGTTTTTGCCAGGAAAGCAACATGTAAAAATCTATTACAGTTATGCAACATGTAATGATGGTTTAGTCAAGAATGGGAGAATGGATTGCATACAGGACAGTGAACATGAGATTATAATAGCATATTATATTACTGCACATTTTCTATGTTTAGATACATGAATACTACCATTGTGTTACAATTGCTCACAGTATTCAGTACAGTAATATGCTGTGGAGATTTGTAGCCTTGGCCATGCATGGTGGCTCATGCCTGTAATCCCAGCACTTGGGAGGCTGAGGCTGGCAGATCACTTGATGTCAGGGATTACAGGCACACACCACCACATCTAGCTAATTTTTGTATTTTTAGTAGAGATGGGGATTCAACATGTTGACCAGGTCGGTCTCTAACTGCTGACCACAGGTGCTCTTCTTTTTTTGAGGTGGATCTCACTCTGTTGCCAGGCTAGAGTGCAGTGGTGTGATCTCAGGTCACTGCAACCAACCTCCATCTCCCGGTTTCAAGCGATTCTCCTGCTTCAGCCTTCCAAGTAGCTGGGACTACAGGTGCATGCCACCATGTCTAGCTGAGTTTTGTATTTTTAGTAGAGATGGGGTTTCACCATGTTGGCCAGGGTGGTCTTGATCTCTCGACCTCGTGATCTGCCAGCCTCGGCCTCCCAAAGTGCTGAGATTACAGGCGTGAGGAGCCTCCGTGCCTGGCCGCATCTCTTCTTAATTTTTGTCTAATTTCATCCTACCTCAAAATCAACTCTGAGACTATGTTTTATGCTCTTCTGAATTCTCAGCCTTCACCTTGCCTAAGGAGGCTTAGATACCTATGTTGACTGTAGTGCTGGGGATTGAGATTGTGGGACACCATAAGATTATGTAATTGTGTTTACAGTGGCTTAACAAATGACTTTTTTCACTAGTCTTATCATATTTATTTATTGAGCAGTCATTCATTTCGGTGTCTACCACAAAAAGATGGATGTGGTCCCTGCCCTAGAGGAGTTCACATGGAAACTTCCAGTCACAGAAGTCACATTGTCTGTGTCACCAGCTTAACAAAATAAAACTAAAATCTACAAAGAGGTTGAGTGTGCTAATCATTCTACCAACTTGCTCCTGAATGGGCCCTGGGGCCAAGCTCCTTTTGTGGATACAGGAATGCTGGCTCCCCAGACAGGATCTTGTACCCAGTGTGCTCTGTTCTCTCTGAAGAATGAGACACAGGCCCCATGCCAGCTGTAGATCTGCAAGCCTCACTGGCTCCCTGTTCCCAGCACTATAGCTTAAAACCATATTTTTCACCACCACTTCTTTTCCCTTTCAGTTTTAGAGAGAGGAAATCAACATTTTTGGACTACCTTCTATGTGCCGGGTTCTTTCACACACATTGTGCTCTGCTAAAATCTTCACAATTCCATGATATACAAGTCAATTCTGGAATCTAGGCATATAATGGAATAGCTTTTGAATCACGAAGAATGAAGCTTCAATTCTGGCTCAGCCACCTAAAAGTCATTACTAGTTTATTAATTCCTTTCTTCATTTATTCACTAAAGAATTTTTTAAACTGCCCCTATACATTCTAACTCTGTAGTAGGAAGTGAGGATACAAAGGTGAATAGAACATAATCCTGTTTTCAAGGCCCTCACTTTGGGCAGTGGAGCAGGGAGAGGAAAATTCTTTTTATTTCTGAGATGGAGTTTCACTCTTGTTGCCCAGGCTGGAGTGCAATGGCACGATCTCAGCTCACTGTAACTTCTGCCTCCTGGGTTCAAACAATTCAGGGAGAGAAGAATTCTTAAACAGATTGTATTTGTAATACTATTACACTTTTTACAGGTTATTATTATGAAAACTTTCTGACTCTTCACAATTTAAGTAGCCTGAGCCTTGGGTTCTTCATTTGTAAATTTTTTTTTGAGACGGAGTCTTGCTCTGTTGCCCAGGCTGGAGTGCACTGGCGCAATCTCAGCTCACTGTAACGTCTGCCTCCCTGGTCCAAGTGATTCTCCTGCCTCAGCCTCCTGAGTATCTGGGATTACAGGTGAGCACCACCATGCCTGGCTAATTTTTGTATTTTTAGTAGAGATGGGGTTTTGCCATGTTAGCCAGGCTGGTCTCGAGCAAACTCTTGACCTCAGGTGATCCCACCCACCTCCCAAATTGCTGTGATTACCATTGTGAGCCACCACACCTGGCCTAAGTCAGGAATAATTCTGTTTTCCAGGCACAGTGGCTGGCATATAGGAGGTAGTAACATTGCAAAACCCGCTGCTCCAGGGAAAGGCTTTCGTGTGCCTTTCCTTCTTTTTTTTTGTAAACTGAAAACAATAAGCGATCATTTAACAAATTGTATTTGAAGGCTTACAATTAATTTTAAGTATACCTGTTTATACAACTTTGTTACAATAATAACAGATATGAAAGGAAATTACTCCAAATCTCACCATCCTTTTTTTTTTTTTTTTTTTGAGACGGAGTCTCGCTCTGTCGCCCAGGCTGGAGTACAGTGGCGCGATCTCGGCTCACTGCAAGCTCCGCCTCCCGAGTTCGCGCCATTCTCCTGCCTCAGCCTCCTGAGTAGCTGGGACTACAGGCGCCCGCCACCTCGCCCGACTAGTTTTTTTGTATTTTCTTAGTAGAGACGGGGTTTCGCCATGTTTGCCAGGATGGTCTCGATCTCCTGACCTTGTGATCCGCCCGTCTCCGCCTCCCAAAGTGCTGGGATTACAGGCTTGAGCCACCGCGCCCGGCTCACCATCCTTTTAATAGAAAATAAATTATTTTCATTTGCCAACCTTGCTTTTCAGTCTTTGTCCATGTTACAAAGCCATATCCTTACACAAATACTTTTTTGTTATACTTTTTAATGGCTGTGAAATATTTAATTTACTGGATTCTTGCTATTTGCTTAACCAGTCCTATATTGTTCAACATTTCTCTTCAGAGGCAGAGTGATTTAGTGGAAACAATGGAAAGTTTGAAAACAAAGATCTTAGGTTTGAAATCTTAGTTGAACCTCTTACTACGTGACCTTGGGTAAGTTATTTAACCTTTCTGAAACAAACTTTTTCTTGGCTGTTATAAAAGAGGACTTTTTCTTTCTTTCTTTCTCCCCCCTCCCTCTTTTTTTAAAGAGATGGGGTCTCGCAAGGTAGCCCAGGCAGTAGTGTAGTGGCTATTTACAGGCACGATCTTAACAGGTTGCCACCTTGAACTCCTGGTCTCAAGCAATTCTCCTGCCTCAACAGGTGGATTACGCCCGGCTAGGAAGGTGAATTTTAATAGGGATTATACTTTTACTCTGCATTAAGAGGTGATTTATATAAAGTTCCAATTAAAATTTGGATGCTCAATAAAAAGCCACAATTTAAGTATTTGGTAATTACCAACATGTAATGTGATTAAAAACCTTTCAAATCTTCCGTGTTATTGCCTTAGGATAAAGTCTCATAAGTGGAATTACTGGGTCAGAGTTTAAACATTTTTTGTTTTGTCTTGTTTTTTTGAGACGGAGTTTCGCTCTTGTTGCCCAAGCTGGAGTGCAATGGCACGATCTCGGCTCACTGCAATCTCCGCCTCCCGGATTCAAGCGATTCTCCTGCCTCAGCCTCTCGAGTAGCTGGGACTACAGGCGCGTGCCACCACGCCCGGCTAATTTTTTGTATTTTTAGTAGAAACGGGGTTTCACCGTGTGAGCCAGGATGCTCTCGATCTGCTGATCTCATGATCCGCCCGCCTCGGCCTCCCAAAGTGCTAGGATTACAGGCGTGAGCCACCGCGCCCGGCAGTTTAAACATTTTAATGGCAATCAGAAACACATCTCAAATTGCTTTTCAGAGTTTCCTTCATTTACGCAGCCATTAGCAATAGATTGCACCACACACTCTATCTGATTCCATTTATGATCACTATGGATATAGTACGTGAAACCTTTTGTAACTGATTGTTTTACTTTTCTTTTTGTGGAATTTGAACATTTTTCGTTTTTGAATAGCAAGACTTGTCTGTAGGAACGACAGCTTAGGCAGTCACGTGGGCTGCGGACTGTGTTTGTGGACTACATCTCCCAAAGTGCTCCGCAGGCGCGCCCACAGGAAGTCGCCGGAGCATCTCCCGCCTCCACGCCGAGGCGAAGAGGTTCTATCCGGGGCCTTGGAGCTTCTCTTTCCTTTCGCGCCGGTTGCCGCTGCGGAGCGCGGCGGGTCCATGTGCGCAGTGAGTGGCGCTATCCCTGGCCCAGTAGCACCCGAACCCCGGGTTTGACCGAGTCCGCGCTGCGATGGACCCCAACACCATTATCGAGGCCCTGCGGGGCACCATGGACCCAGCCCTGCGTGAGGCCGCGGAGCGCCAGCTCAATGAAGTAAGGACGCCCGGCTAGCGGTGGCGACGGGCAGGCGGGCAGACAGAGGTGGCAGGCCGAGTCCCCGGGGCCTGGCCGGAGGCGCGGACGACGTCGTTGAGGGCCCCAACAGGAGGGTGGGGCGGACATCGGACGGCGACTTCCACGCCGGGGCGCCTCGATGTGGTGTGGTGGTGGTGGCTGCAGCCAAGGCTGCCTTTGCTTCGGATCCTGAGCTGGGCCTCTGCCTGCGGTCTAGGCATGAGGAGCCGGCTGAGGCGAAGCGGGCGTGACGGGTTGGACACATGGCCGGCTAGGGTGGCCGGCCGCCCTCTAGCTCATTCCCAGCTCGTTCCTCACGCCCAGGAGGGGGCGAAACTTACTGGGAGGTTTTTCAGACGTTTCTGAGACCAGTCTCGCCGTCGCAGGGTTTGGAGGGTCTTCTGGGAATGCCGACCGGTCCTTTGGGGGCTGCGCCTGTCATCCTTGTCACTTGGCTGGGCTGATCAGTGGCCTGCCTCGGGCACAACTTCCTTCTCTCTGGCTGAGTTGCTAGGGAAGGCTTTCAAAGGCAAACCCGCGCCTCATTAGTAGGACAGGGGTAGTGCGGGACATTCAGTCTGATCCCTGCTCTTCCACTGTCATAATGCTTCAGTCGGAGGGCTGGCTTATGTAGTGGAAATAATCAGGTGAAGTGCACCCTTCTAGGTATAGCTGCACCATTGATTTCTTGAGTGACCTTGGGCCAGTCACTTAACCTCTTGATCCTGAGTTTTTCCCATTCATAAAATTACGCCACAGAGTTGCTGTGACAGTCAGGTGCGATAATGTTAAGTCTGAGTGCCTTGGAATGTGCCGAGCTCCTTATCAGTTCAGATATTGCATTCTCTGAAGGTTTTTGTTTCCCCCATATTTTGGGGGGACTGCTCCTTGGAAAACAGCTTTATTGCATGAATATTTATTGTACTATCTCCAACGTCATTCTTTGTTTCTAAACTTTTGCAATTTTATGTATTAATGATCAGTATTTTAGAGTCTCCTTAAAAGGGCTGCTGTAACTTTTTTGCCAGTTAGTAACTGTCTTTTAGCATACTGCTGAATCTGCCAACTTTATTGAACTTTAGTGTACATTTTTTAACTGAAAAATCACACTTTAAAATAGAAATTCAACTATTTTATGCGTCTTTTAGCTGGTAAATAATTTAAAAACGTTGTTTATATTGACTTACCAGAAACAGCTGAAATGTTACTAATTGGACTTTTTCAGTGTAAAGGGCTGCACTAGAGATCCCTCCCTCATGGGACTTACAGTTCAAGAAGACTACCTACAGAGTTTACAGAAATTAAATGTAAAATTATTTCAGAATGTTAAATCTATTTTGTATGTAAATGAGGTCATTATACCACACGAAGTGATGATTATGTGTTCAAATTTTTAGACTCGAAGTCACCTTGGGAGGAGCTTAGTTTTTTTGGATATGAAATAGTGAGTTGAACCGTATTACTATTTTGAACCGTTATACAGCTATGGAAGGAGCAACGGATCACTTTTTGTTTTGATTTGCTTTGTGATAGACATGGGTTAAGGTGAACATTATTTTGCTTGTTAAATAATAATGCAGTTACAAGTCTAGAAAAGCTGAAAGTTTAGTCACGGTCATTTCTATCATGACTTTGCTGTAATCGCGTATTATTTTGACTAATTATACTTGCGTGTAATTATTAATTTTAAAAGTGAATACTTGAAAGAGTTGATTTGCTTCTACAAAAATTGGGGAAATAATACTTCCTGAAAATCTGAAATTCATTTATTCCTCAGATAGACATTGCATGTCTAGTATATGCACTAACATCTTGTAATAGAGACCTAGGGTATTTCACAAGCTAGTTTTTGGAAAATAAACAAATGATCAAAATAGCATTCAAAGCCTTTTTTACTTAACCATTAAACTACTGTTCTGGAATACTGTCAAACAGTGAACACCGCTAATCTGTCAAAGAAAATTTATTGCATGGCCTTTACTTTTGTAATCCTTAGCTATTTACATTTCATACATTTCTTTCAATTATAACACTTAGATTTTTAAATATTCTTCCTAAGGTAAATTTTCTATTAGTATATTTACTTTCATTCCAGTTTAATACACTGCTTCTCCCTCTCCCTTCTTCCATTTAAATATTTTTTGCTTTGACTTTCTTGTGGCAGAACATTGATTTGGGAGACAGATCTCAGATAAGTCTTGAATATAGTAAGAATGAGGAAGTAACATTTCTGAAAGGCTCTTGCTTTGGAGAAGATAGAAGAAGGAATTATTCTATGATGTCTCTCATTCCACTGAAGCTGTGTTTTGGTTCATTTAGAACCAAAGAAAAAGATCATTGACATTTGAATGAATCTCTTCACTAAGTGAAATAATCACTGACTCAATGTAAAATTTGTAAATGTTATTAAAGTGTTTATAGTGTAGATAGTGTCAAAATAAAATAGGGCTTCTGCCTCAGAGTCTTTGCACTTAACTCCTTGGAACTCCTTTCATAGTTATCCCCCTAACTTGTTCTCTCATTTCCTTCCATCCCTGTTCAAATATTTCCTTATCACTGAGGAATTCCTTGACCATCATACTCCCTATCTCCTTTCACTTGTTTTCCTCTATAGCACTGATTTGTCACACACATTTGGCTTATTTTTAAAATTAATTTTATTTGGCCGGGCGTGGTGTTTCACGCCTGTAATCCCAGCCTTTTGGGAGGCTGAGGCGGACTGATCACTTGAGGTTGGGAGTTCGAGACCAGCCTGACCAACATGGAGAAACCCTGTCTCTACTGAAAATACAAAATTAGCCGGGTGCGATGGCACATGCTTGTAATCCTAGCTACTCGGGAGGCTGAGGCAGGAGAATCGCTTGAACCTGGGAGGCGGAGGTTGCGGTGAGCTGAGATTGCACCATTGCACTCCAGCCTGGGCAACAGAGTGAGACTCCATCTCAAAAAAATTAATTAATTAATTAAATTTAAAAAATTGGCCAGGCACAGTGACTCATGCCTGTAATCCCAGCACTTTGGGAGACCGCGGCGGGCCGGGCGGATCACCTGAGGTCGGGAATTCGAGACCAGCCTGACCAACATGGAGAAACTCCGTCTCTACTAAAAATACAAAATTAGCTGTGCGTGGTGGCACACGCCGGTAATCCCAGCTACTAGGGAGGCTGAGGCAGGAGAATCGCTTGAACCTAGGAGGCAGAGGTTGCGGTGAGCCGAGATCATGCCATTGCACTCCAGCCTGGGCAACGAGAGCGAAACTCCATCTGAAAAAATAAAAATAAAAATAAATAAATTTTTTTTTTATGAGACAGAGCCTTACTCTGTCACCCAGACTGGAGTGCAATGGCGCGATCTCAACTCACTGCAAGCTCTGCCTCCCGGGTTCATGCCATTCTCCTGCCTCAGCCTCCTGAATAGCCGGGACTACAGGTGCCTGCCACCACGTCTGGCTAATTGTTTGTATTTTTAGTAAAGACGGGGTTTCACTGTGTTAGCCAGGATGGTCTTGATCTCCTGACCTTGTGATCCACCCGTCTCAGCCTCCCAAAGTGCTGGGATTACAGGCGTGAGCCACCGTGCTTGGCCTTTTTTTTTTGAGATGGAGTCTTGTTCTTGTTACCCAGGCTGGAGTGCAGTGGCGCAATCTCAGCCCACTGCAACTTCTGCCTCCTGGGTTCAAGCGATTCTCCTGCCTCAGGCTTCCGAGTAGCTGGGATTAGGTGCCTGCCGCCACACCTAGCTAATGTTATATTTTTAGTAGAGACGGGGTTTCACCATGTTGGCTAGGCTGATCTCGAACTCCTGACCTCGTCATCTGCCCGCCTTGGCCTCCCAAAGTGCTGGGATCACAGGCATGAGCCACCATGCCCAGCCTATTTATTTATATTTATTTTTTGAGACAGGATCTTGCTCTGTCACCCAGGCTGCAGTGCAGTAGCACCATCATGGCTCACGGCAGCCTCTCCCTCCCGGGCTCAAGCGACACTCCCACTTCAGCCTCTCAAGTAGCTGAGACTATAGGGATGTGCCACTATGCCCAACTATTTTTGTATTTTTTGTAGAGACAAGGTTTCACTGTGTTGCCCAAGCTTGTTTTTAATTTTTTCAGAGCCAAGGCCTTGCTATATTGCCCAGGCTGGAGTGCAGTGGGCTCTGCTGCACTACATAGTACACTACAGCTTAGAACTCTTCGCCTCAAGCAGCCTCCTCCTTTCTGAGCCTCCCATGTGGGTGGGACTGCAGACACGTGCTACCACACCTGGTCTAATTTTACTTTTGTTCTCTCCACTATAATTTTAAGTTTCATGAGGTCATGAATTATTATTTTTTGTTATTGTTATTCCTTAATTTACCAGTAATAGGCTTTATGACTTACTGTTATAATATTAGTAAATAGCAATATGGGCTTTAGTTCTTTTATTTATTTTTAAAAATTTACTATTATTTTTGTGGCAGGGTCTCACTCTGTTGCCTAGGCTAGAGTGCAGTGGCACGATCTTGGCTCACTGCAGCCTCCAATCCCAGGTTCAAGCGATTTTCAGGCCTCAGCCCCTTGAGTAGCTGAAACTTAAGGTGCGTACCACCATACCTGGCTAATTTTAGTATTTTTAGTAGAGACGGGGTTTCGCCACATTGTCCAGGCCAGTCTCAAACTCCTGACCTCAAGTGATCCATCCACCTTGACCTCCCAAAATGCTGAGATTACAGGCATGAGCCACTGCACCAGCCGGCATTTTTAAATATAATGCCAGGAAGATACTTATGAAATACTCATTCCGAAGGATAATTCCCAGTCTGGTTCATGTAACAGCAAATGTCTGTGTGCTAGGCACTGAGCTAAGTAGTTGGATGCAGAGAAATTCATGATCACTTTCTTACTAGAGCTCCATAATCACTATGTCACTGGCCCTTACAATACATGTGGTCAGTACTATAATAAAACTATATGTAAATTTTGGATAAGGAAACTATTGGATCTG